GAGCCCATTAGGAGAGGCTGCGGGAGAGTCTGGAGGCGGGACATTCCTCGGGTGAATGGTGGGGGGCGCTCTTCGCGGGTCCCATGCTCCCCAGCCGTCCTCTCCTTACGAGGGAATGGCGGGCCTGGCGCAGGCCCAGCAGGAGAGGAGAATAGCCGGTCGAGGAGGAGGAGGAAGAGGAGGCAGGATTCGCACCGGACGATCCTGTCTCCGGAAAGGAAGAGAAACGGGGTGGGGGTGCCGGCCTCTCCAGCTGCCTCCTTCCCGGCCCTGCTCGGGGGACCCTGAACCCTGTGCTGGGAGGAGCCGCTTGAGGCTGCGGGCAGATTGGGGGAAGGGGATCCAGGGGCTGAATTCTCCTTTCTGATCCTGGGCGTCGGTTTTGCTCTCCCTCCCAGATTCGGAACCTCGAAGCCCTCGGAAGCCTTTGCAAGCCAGGATTTTCTCTGCGGGGGAAGGAAGGAAAGAAGAAAAAAAAGATTTCCTAGACAGGGAAAGGAAGGAAGAAAGGACTGGGGGGGATCCGTCTTGTGGCCCCAGAAATGGTCCCGTGAAGGAAGAGGCCCCTGGAGACACACAAACACACCCCGAGTCTCTGGAGCCCTTTGGAGTTGCTCTGCTGGAGAGAGGAACGATGGAGACACCCCCTCTTTTGGCCAAGGAAGAGAGCAGAAAAGGACCCGCGGCTCTTCAGCCTGGGAGCTGTGGGGAGAGCTGGACCAGAAACAGGCAGAAGGTCCTGCAGGGGGGAACCCTCCTCCCTTCAGAAGTTCAGCCCTGGACTTCCATCCGATGCTGGGAGGCTCAGGGTCCCCGAGGACTTTGCAGCCGACTCCATAACTTGTGCAGGCGATGGCTGAGACCAGGAAAGCACAGCAAAGCCCAGATGCTGGACCTGGTGGTTCTGGAGCGGCTCCTGGCTCTCCTGCCCCCAGAGATGGAGGGCTGTGTGCGGGAGTGTGGAGCAGAGAGCAGCTCCCAGGCGGTGGCCCTGGCGGAAGGCTTCCTCCTGAGCCAGGCAGAGGAGCAGAAGGAGCAGCTCCAGTGGCAGGTGGGAAACTTTAGGGAGTTTGGAGGGGAATAAATAGAGTGCTTGAATGCTTCACTCTCCTTCCCAAACTTCTCCCACGTTCATAATACGTGGTAATTCTCCAGTTCTGGTAGGACATCACACCACTGTAGGCATGCAAAAACATACAACCTAATGGAATTTCTGAGAAATTCAGAAGGAAATTTACTTGACTTTCTACACTTTAATCTTTTTCTCTAACCTTGTTATCATTTTCATTTCCCTTTTGCTTTGAAGGTAATAATGGGCAGGAAAATCAAGATTCCTGTGAACTGTTCCAAGTGATCAATGCTAAAGATGGAACGGAGAAGTTTGGAATTCGAATGGAATTTGAAAGCCACGAGAGAAACCAGTCAAAGAATTGGAATCAGGAAGGCTCATCTTCCAGTGATGCTCCGATGCAAGACTTTCTTGCCCAAGAAGGGAAAATAAGGAAAAAATATACTGGAAAAAGTATGAAGCTAATCAAAGTGGAAGTACAAGTAAATGAACACTATTTAACCCAAAACAAAAGAGAAGATGCTATAAGAAGACACAACAGACAAAATTACAATGGGACATTCATTATTCCTCTTGGGAATAACTTTCTTATATCTCAAAAAGCGATTGACACAAAAGAGAAGACTTATAAATGTTTGGAATGTGGAAAATATATTACAACAAGCATTCAACTTACTATCCATAAAAGGATCCACACAAAGAAGAAACCATATAAATGCATGGAGTGTGGAATGATGTTTACTGATGGCAGTGGACTTACTATCCATAAAAGGGTCCACAGAGGAGAGAAACCATTTAAATGCACGGAGTGTGGAAAGACCTTTGCTCGAAGAGCTTATCTTATTTCCCATAAGATGATCCACACAGGGGAGAAGCCGTTTAAATGCATGGAGTGTGGAAAAACCTATGCTCAAAGGGGTAATCTTGCTTCCCATAAGATGACCCACTCAGAGGAGAAGCCTTTTAAATGCTTAGAGTGTGGAAAGACCTTTGCTCGAAGAGCTTATCTTATTTCCCATAAGATTATCCACACAGGCGAGAAGCCATTTAAATGCTTGGAATGTGGAAAGACATTTACCCATGGCAGTGGACTTAGAGACCATAAAAAGCTCCACACAGGAGAGGAACCATATAAATGCATGGAGTGTGGAAAGAGATTTTCTCGTCGCAGTGGACTTAGAAGCCACAGAAAGCTCCACACAGGGGAGAAGCCATATAAATGCATGGAGTGTGGAAAGACCTTTGCTCATAGCACTACACTTACTTCCCATAACATGATCCACACAGGGGAGAAACCATTTAAATGCATGGAGTGTGGAAAAACCTTTGCTCGAAGAGATCAGTTTATTTCCCATGAAAGGATCCACTCAGGAGAGAAACCATATAAATGCATGGAGTGTGGAAAGACCTTTGCTCAAAGAGGTAATCTTATTTCCCATAAGAGGATCCACACCGGGGAGAAGCCATTTAAATGCTTGGAGTGTGGAAAGACCTTTGCTTGGAGCAGGAGCCTTAGAATCCACAAAATGATCCACACAGGGAAGAAACCATATAAATGCATGGAGTGTGGAAAGACCTTTGCTCGAAGAGCTTATCTTATTTCCCATAAGATGATCCACTCAGGGGAGAAGCCGTTTAAATGCATGGAGTGTGGAAAGACCTTTGCTCGAAGAGCTTATCTTATTTCCCATAAGAGGATCCACACAGGGGAGAAGCCATTTAAATGCTTGGAATGTGGAAAGACATTTACCCATGGCAGTGGACTTACAGACCATAAAAAGCTCCACACAGGAGAGGAACCATTTAAATGCATGGAGTGTGGAAAGACCTTTGTTCATAGTAGTGGCCTTAGAAGCCACAAAAAGCTCCACTCAGGAGAGAAACCATATAAATGCATGGAGTGTGAAAAGACGTTTACGCGTGGCAGTGATCTTAAAAGGCATAAAAAGATCCACGCAGGAGAGAAACCATTTAAATGTACGGACTATGGAAATTCCTTTGATCGTAGATATACACTTATTTCCCATACAATGATCCACATGAAAGAAGCCATATAAATGTACGGAATGTGGAAAGACATTTGCTCATAGATAAAATGTTATTTCCCATTAGAAATTAGGTGGAATATTATTGTTATGTAGGAATTAAATACAAAGAGGGTTAAAAATTAGAAACATGTTGTAAAGGCAGAATTAATCTGGTTGGATCCCGAAGGAAGAATTCTGGTTATACAAGTTTGGATAAACCACATCACATTTTTACTTGTAGCAATCTATGCCCCAAATGATGACCAGAGGAATATAAGAGGAATATAAACTACAGGCGTTTGCAGACGATATGGTTTTTTTCCTAGAGGAACCCATGGAAAAAGGACATAACCTAATAAAAACTAGAACAATATGGCTCAGTAGCAGGATTAAAGATTAACAGAAACAAGACGAAATTCCTGACTAAAAATCTAACAGAGAACCAGAGGAAAGAATTAGAAAAAACCATGGGGATACAGGCAACAAAAAAGGTCAAATATTTAGGCATATGGTTAACACCACATAGTAAATCGCTCAAAGAGAATAATTATGATAAACTGTTATAGCAAATTAAGAAAGATCTAGAATCTTGGAATAAGTTGCAGCTTTCTCTACTGGGCAGGATTGCCACGATCAAAATGAACATCTTACCAAAACTCCTTTACTTATTCCAGACAATCCCAATAAAATTACGAAAAAATTTTTTTGAAGATATAAATAAGGTAACTCTTAAATTTATTTGGCAAGGGAAAAAAGCTAGAATCAGTATTAAGGCCTTACAAGATGCAAAAAGTAGAGGTGGGCTAGCGCTTCCAATCTGGGAATTATATTATTGGGCAGCCAACTTATGGTTAAAAGACTGGGTCAATTTACTGAATAAAAGAACTTTAGTCTTGGAAGGGCACGACCTTCAGAGAGGATGGCACGCATTTCTATGGGATGTGGGGAAAACTAAACAGTCGTATTTTCATAGACATCTTATTAGAGATTCACTATTAACTAATTGGAAAAAAATATGCAAAAAACATTATTTAAAAATTCTGATTTGGCTTTCAACAATGGAGGCAATGGTTCATCCCAACAATTTGGATATAACAAAAATGACTAAATATAAAGATTTATTAGACCCTTTAGGAAAATTAAGAACTCGACAGGACTTACAGGAACAGGGATTTAAAATTGACCAGTGGTTATATATACAAATCCATAGCAGATACAAACAAGATATCAATCCAAATATCAAAGTCCAGTATTAAAAACAGTTCAGCAACAGACTTACATCAAACCCCCAAATAACGATGATCAGTAACAGTCAATAAGGAGCAGCAACATTCTCAGCAACAGGACAGGAACAACCCAGGTTTCTGGCTCCATCTTATGGCCATTTGAGGAACCACGCCCAATTACAATTTTAGCATTTCCTTAAAGAGACAGTATTAAAATGTCTATCCTGGTTTATATATTTTTCCAACCCAACTGTTAGGTGACTTACATTCCTAACATGGAGGAAGGAAGGAAGAGAGCGGGAGAACCGACAGGGATCCATCCTGCAACCCCAGAAATTGTACCGGAAAGGATGAAGCCCCTCGAGAGCCCCCTGGAGCCCTTTGGAGCTGCTCTGCCAGAGAGGAAGGATGGAGACACACACACACCTTTTGGACAAGCAGGGGAGCAGAAAAGGCCTCACGACTCTTCAGCCTGGGAGCTGTGGGGAGAGCTGGACCAGAAACAGGCAGAAGGTCCTGCAGGAGGGAACCATCCTCCCTTCAGAAGTTCCGCCCTGGACCTCCATCAGATACCAGGAGGCTGAGGGTCCCCAAGGACTTTGCAGCTGACTCCATGACTTGTGCAGGTGATGGCTGAGCCCAGGAAAGCACAGCAAAGCCCAGATGCTGGACCTGGTGGTTCTGGAGCGGCTCCTGGCTCTCCTGCCCCCAGAGATGGAGGGCTGGGTACGGGAGTGTGGAGCAGAGACCAGCTCCCAGGCGGTGGCCCTGGCGGAAGGCTTCCTCCTGAGCCAGGCGGAGGAGCAGAAGGAGCAACTCCAGCAGCAGGTGGGAGACTTTAGGGAGCTCGTTAAGGGAATAACTAGAGAGAGTGTTTGAATGCTTCACCCCTCCTTCCCAAACTTCTCCCACGTTCATAATATGTGGCGGTTCTCCAATTCTTGTAGGACATCGTTCCATTGTTTTCTCACTCAGCCACACTGATGGATATTGGAGGCTTTGAGGTTGTGTTCTGAATACAAGAATCTACTTTGTGTCGTGTGAGGTACATTATTTCTGCTTCTTTCTTCCTCCTATTTGAAGGGCTGTACTGTGGAGATCAGAGATCCTGAGGGAAAGAAGAACCCACAAATCCCCCTCTGGAGCTATTTTTCAGGGGGATCCCCTGGGAAGATCCTCTGATTCCCCATCCGTCTTCCCTTTGCTCTGTCTTCTCTCCTATAGAATACCTCTTCCTATTTTGTTAATTATTCATTTGGAAATGATTTATTCCTTTCAGAGATACAAAGAATGAAGCTTTCTGGTTTTTATGGCGGAGATCAAACAGCAGTTGAACCTTCA